TACCAGATCATTTGACACATTTATAAAATAAACCTCAGTTTATTGCGGGAGCAGCCTTCAAACTTTTGCTACCTCTTTCTCTTAAGCTGTCGCTGCCCCATGCCCCACATCATTTGCTTCAGGTGTCGCTGCTCGTATCCCACGCCCTACATCATTTGCTTGAGGCATAGCAATGTTGCTGTCGTGAAAGGGTTCATAGAATGATGCCTTCTAGGGCTCCTTATCGTACCTTATCAGCTATTATCTCTACTGTCACCTGCAGATAGTGTCCCCTAAACCTTTTTTGGAGAGAACAACATTGTGGGTGTAACCTGCGCTATGGTCCCTCTTCTTCTAGCGCGTCTTTTCATATTGTGTCAGATGTTACCACTTCCTGTCAACTGATAACGATGTGCCCGTCCCACGCTCACTATAACTTCTTGAAATATCACTCTGTTGCTGCGACCCACGCTAATCTTCGTGGCCTTCTCACGACTTATAAAGGTTATCACTTCCTCCACCAAGTGTCCTCTTCCACCCGCTATGACACTTCGGAACCGAAGCCCCATTGTTGAGGTGCTCCGCACTGAAAATTTGGGACCCCCTCCCCACTGACCCAGCGCCTCCTACCAGGTCTCATCTGCTTTCATCACCTCTTGTCAATCTTAAAGACACATGGTACGCTCAAACACATTGAGGGTGTATGAGACTATCAGCCCCCAGCTGTCGATGTGTCGTGGTCCCCCGCCCAAAACTGCACGGGGTCAGAGTACGGGGCCGTGGGAAAGTCGTAATTCCTTGCTACACCGCCCATTTCGCAAACTCACGTTTATGCTAACACCGTCCGCGCGCGTGTCGCGTGCAGCTCTCTTGGCTTTTTGCCAAGTCCTGTAATTGCGCTTTGGAATACAAGTAAACGCAATTTCTTTATGCGGATAACATTTTAGGTGCTGCAAAATAAGAACCGAAGATGATGACGAGGGCTAGAACTCAAGAGCAACTGTGCTGCTTCTGCAATATTTCCTCGGAGGCGCATTTCCACAAAACATGAAAATAAAAACATAGTTGCAGGAACAGCACAGTTGCTCTTGAGTTCTGGCCCTCGTCATCATCTTCGGTCCTTATTTTGCAGCACCTAAAATGTTATCCGCATAAAGAAATTGCGTTTTACTTGTATTAGCGCAATTACAGGACTTGGCAAAAAGCCAAGAGAGCTGCACGCGACACGCGCCGCGCGGACGGTGCATAGAACGTGAGTTTGCGAAATGGGCGGTGTAGCAAGGAATTACGACTTTCCCACGGCCCCGTACTCTGACCCCGTGCAGTTTTGGGCGGGGGACCACGACACATCGACAACGACTGGGGGCTGATAGTCTCATACACCCTCAACGTGTTTGAGCGTACCATGTGTCTTTAAATAGTGTTCGCCTCCTCATAATTCTATTACTTTCTGGAATCATTGAAAATCACGACTTCTTTGACCGACGCTATGAAATTTCATGGCGCACAGACACAGACATCTCTGGCGGTTATGCAAAGTAGGATGGCGATTATTGGACAATATCGGAATCGTGAGAGTTTTATAATGCCTGATGATATCAACTCCTATATTTGCTTTCAGATGTTCTACTTCCCTGAGCTGCGATTTTTGGACGTCTTTATCACCTTATACACCTATATTGCGTGGAATATAAGCATTTTTGTATATATAGTCTACACCGATGCTACGTATTTTGGTGTGAAGCTCTTCAACGACGAACTGGAGGGGGTATGCTCATATGATCATTTTTGAGCATAGTTGCACGCATCTGTGGAACTCAAGGTGGAACATGCATTCGAGTTCATCATGCAACGTGATCTGCAGCACTAATCAAGGGGCTGAACAAAATAGGTGTCAATGGTAGCTCTATTTTCTGGATCGTGTTCTGTCGTAAATGCATAGAGTTATGGAAATATATTGCGCGCATGGATGATGAGCCGTTCCCGGAGCTATTCTGATGTCACCTAGAAGACATGCCGCACTTTTGCCTTAATTCTTGCCCTATCAATTAAGTCAATCCGCCAGCTGTGGAACAGTGCCGCTGTCGTTCTGAAGGATGTACAGATAGTGATCGAGTGTGATGAAAAGTGGATGTCATCTGGTTCCCCATCAGGGCGAACAACATGAACGGTAAGCACAAGCTGCCAACCGAAATCAAGTGAAAATGACTAGAGCTCTTTCAACCACATGAGGAGGGGAGCACGCAAGTAGCGCGATTGGCTTGGCGAAGTAACGTGTGCGTGTTTTGCCTGCCGGTGGAGCCCGATTGCCGTTCAGCTACCACTACATTTCTGAATCATTCCTGCTCAGTGCAAGGTGACAAAACAGCTCAACTCTTCAACTGCAATGCCGCTCGCCTCGCACACGGCAGGTCCTTCGAATGTGCAGCGCACCTTGAAATCACGGCCTCCAGTTCTAAGTACTACTCCGTTAGACTATAAACCTATCAGGACAGCGTCCAAACGTTGCGATGACAAGTATAACGAGGTTAAAACGCAGCCATAGAGGGTATCGATCGGTACCCGCAACTGCTTTGAGAGAGTATGAAGAAAATGGGACGGTTTGCTTTCCCGGTCACACAGCCAGCTATCGGTCGATGCCGGCTGCTAGTATTAGTGTTCTGGGAGAGTGTGGAAGTATAGGTGATACTTCTAATCTCCCTACTCTCTCAATGCAATAGCGGCAAGCGCCGATGATAGCCGTCAACAGAACTGAAGTGCTGAAGCAACGGAAGCGCGTCAACGCACATCAACGTGAATCCGAACACTGCTTCACTAGGTTAAGGGACATTCCATTCAACTGGAGATGTTGATGAGATGCTCCTCCGTAGAAGGTTTTATAGAAATGAGAAGGCTGGGTCCAGTGGTTTTCTTTTTTGAAAAATTCCATCTCAAACATAGTCACATAGTGACGATTGCGGGCCAGGCGGGAGAATAATGGCGGGAGAATAATCCAAGCTCGTGACACCTGGTGGATTTCGAACGCCCTCTGTTTTGTTTCAACGCTTCCTTAAGAGGGAAGAAGGGTCGTAACGAGTACTTCTTCAGTAATGGAGGAACGTACGGTGTGGACAAGCTGGCAAAGTATCGAACGCCCTGAAACATCCGTCGTGTCAGGATTTTGCTTCTTCAGGAGGAGTAATTCTCGTGCTCAGTGGCTATTTGCCGACTAGCAAACGTCCGTGAACATTTGGGATGTGGGATGTTGCAGTGGCCGTAGAATGCAATACAGGAAAGAGAGAGAGAGCTAAGAGAAGAGCAGAAATTTGATCAGCAGTTATGAAAAAGAAACCCGGAGCTAGTGTTGCTCGCTGACCGGCAAGAGCACGCGTTGCGTGCTCTGTCGCCATAAGGATAACGCTGTCAAAAGCAATCAAAAGTCAATGCTGTACCACTACAGGCAATGAATTTCCTTTCTTCTTGCAAATGGATGGTGAACAACGTTAAGACTTTGGGGAAGGCCGAAGTAAGGATTGATGAGTGGTTAGCAACTATGACATGGAAGGCAAATGAAGAGCACACCATAATCAAGCATATGCGTAACGTTTCTCAGGAGATATGTTAATTTCATTGTGACTATTGGCTGAATTCACTGACGTTTGGATTTGCCACTACGTTATTGCGCACTAGCGACTCAAGGCGAACATGGGCTGATAGGGAGATAAATGATATCGATAGTACATCGAGTCGCAGTGATGACCGCGCATGTCAGTTCCGATCCTTCGCCGCACCAACGCAACGACTTCGCTCAACCGCGCGCGCTATGTTTTCCCCTTGCTGAGTGTTGCAAGTTTTCCGCTTATTTCCCTTGTCGCGACATTACCACACCCTATCACTTGTCGAGATGGCACGCTCAGTCGACTGCATTAGTAGGCAGTTCATGCTCTAACTTCTAGATGATCATGCACCCCGCATTCGATTCAGTTGCACCTCTCATGACTAAACAATGAACTCGTGAAAGGCTTGTGGCCCGCTGTGGCGTTTCGTTCGCTTTGCTCGAAAAAATCAGAAAGGATGAGGATGTCCTGTGCAATTTTCTTGTACGAAAGTTGTAGCGGCAATGATGCACAAGGTTGCGTAAAAAGTCCCGCCAAAAGGTCAGTGAATCCACCCCTTATAGGCGTCTTGCTGGTTGTCTCACTCGTTTGTCGTGCTGTCTCGGCGCTCTTGTCTGTTCTCTCGCTCCATCTTGATCTCGATCATCGATATTTTGTAGGCTTAGCACAGGGCAAGCCTGACTTCAAGCGTTTTTGACCCATTCTTTTGCTTTTTTTATTCAGATCAAAGCAATTGGCACATATACCCTTTCCAACCCCGATAAGAAAAAACTTCTCCATGAGTCATAGGGAGTTCCGCCTTCAAATGCATGGTAGAACGTGACTATCTTCTTTCGTCCTGTAATGGTGCGAATATTTCCATATGAAGGAAAAAATGAATTTGCGACTCAGTTGCCTCTACTCAAGATAGACAATGCATTATTAGTGTTTATTCTGCCTGTTGTAATAATACGAACATTTACAACTGATTCACCATTCAGCTTGATGGCTCTTCTCACGAAACTGGACCAGTGCTGCTGAGAAAAATGGATGTTTACGGCAAGCTGTGTGACGTCGTCAGAGAGCTTGATCGAATTTTCAGGGTATCTGATTTTGAAAAAAGAAGTGTTCAAGAAGTGGTCAAATCTTCAGTAAACAAAATCGCAACATTCTTTCGGTTCCAGACGAATAGGGAATCTTTTTTTACGTGTCGCTTTGAAAGATCATCCAAGTCTCCCATACATATGCTTACTTAAAGCAGCCCCCGCGTTCAATTTGATAAGTTATGGAGCTCAGGCAGTTACAACAAGGTAGCAAGTAGTTCATTAGTGAAGAAAAATGCAAAAAAATCATCGGATATGCCTACGTAGGACCCCACAACGAGCTCAGGTTGTGCCTGCTCAAGCCGAAGCGATCGGGTGGTCGTACGAGTTTACTGACCGCTGGCTTGATGCCAGCACGCGACCACAGCGCGCGGCGGACGCAAAACATATGTTTTGCTCTCGTTTTAATCTCTATTTTGTGTTATTTTTGGGCTTTTTTCTCATTTGCGGGCCACATTTTCCTTAATTAATGGCATCTTCCTTGCATTCCAAGCTACGGACAGCGTAAACTTGAACAGAGAACACTACAACGGACACATAAAATTTTCCTAGTAGAGGCAGGGACCGCTCGCATTTGCTCTCAAGAGAACACTTGCCTTATGAATATTTTAGCAACACGCTCACGGGAAATTCACGGGAGAATTCACAACACAACACACCGGATACAACGCAACACAACGAATAAATAAGAAAATGATTAGCGAGAGTGAGTAAGAGAAAAATGAGAGTAGTGAGAGTGAGTGAGAGTAGTAAGTAACAATGGAAGAAAATACCAAAGCAAAATTAAAGGGACGTAAAATGGAAAATCGTACGACCGGCCTTCCATTGAAATTCAGCTTGGACGTCGTGGTCGCCAGGTGGGCGGGGCGGCCGACTCTTCGAGCGGGCGCCGCTATTCTCTCGCATTTTTGAGTTGCGAAACTAGCACGTCCACCATCCTCATAGGGGAGCTACGATATCCAGAGAGGGCGTGGGAACAACAAATGAACGCGGGCGCTGCCTTTCAAAGCTCGACTTGAAGCACTAATGATGATAGTAGTGCTATACATGTTTTCTGTTGCAGTCTGTCTTTCTTCAGCTTTACGCATTTATTATGCTGAGCATTATCATTCCATCGGTGATTTTTACACTCATGATGTTAAATCATCGGATTCACGATTTGAAAGACCTTATTATATGCTCGCCATCAATAGCATTGTGCATCTACAGTTTCCTGGCCGTCACTATTGCACCGGCGAGATTGCACGACGAGGTACGACAATCAAATTCTTTTGCCTACAGATCGAAACGATCAATCTTGTTCACTTTTCACTTCAGGGTTTTCATCTGACTAATTCATTATCCCATTCACTCTAGTCCACTCAAGAACTTTTTCTGTTTTGGCTTCCATCTTCACTTGAGAGCATAAGAAACATAGAGACTCGGAAAAAAACTTGGAACAGGCTTTGAAAAGAACTCTCGCCTATTCTGCGTCATTTATTCTGCTCTTAAACACAGTGTCAGGTTCAGAAACTAAGAATATAATGTTATGACCCAACAATGTTAAAGCTTTGTTTAGGCGGAGGTAGTGTAGTGGCAAGTAGCGCCACTTGTGGTGTGGTCTGGGGTTTAGATCCCGGATCGGCTCGCGCTGAGCCGACAGAGCTATCCACGCCTGCAGGGAAATGTGAAATGTGGAAAAGTCGCTAGCGTTTTGGGTGTTTCACTTTAAACGATCGTAACTTTTTTAACTACTCTTAATACTCATCGGATTTAATCGAAATAGGCACCATTCGAATCAGCACACTTTTGCCAATGTGACAGCAGTCGAGAAATCCCATCAAAGTAAAAAACTGGGTGGTCGAAAATTCACGAAATCCACTAAGGCTTTTTTGCCTGGTCCTGATTGATGAAGTATTTTCCAGCAAGGGAGTTCTGAAAATGTTAGAAAAGGTGATAGTCGGTTGGCGAAAGGTCTGAAGAATATGGCGGTTGAGGTAGAACTTCAACCCCCAATTCGTTCAATTTATGGATAGTGATTTGTGAAACGTGTGGGCGGGCGTTGTCATGCAAAGGAATCGGACCCTTTCTTTTGATAAGTGTTGGCTGCATCTGACAAAATTTTCGGTACAATTCGTCGATTTCTTCACAGTAGGGTTCTGCTGTGATGGTTTGGCCTGGTGATAAAAAGTTATAGTGGATCACACCAGCCGATGACCACCAAGCCGTGACCAGAATCTTTTTTTCGTGAGGGTTCGGCTTTGAAAATTACCTCGGTCGTTTCTGCTGCGCAAAAGCAATGCAGAAGGAACCTCGAGACGTGCCGATTCCTGCCGGTCACTCCGATTGTGGGGCACCCAGTTTTTTCACCTTCCCAATGCGTTCCAGACCATCTGCAACAGTGGATTTGCCAAGGCCTAGCTCTTCTGCTATCTCTCGAACTGTTTGGGATGGGTCAGCCTCCAAAATCCCCCTAAAATCCTCGTCAGATATTGCTTTAGGTCGACCGCTATGAGGTTCATCTTCAAGGCTGAAATCTCCAGAACGAAATTTGTTGAGCCATTGCCGCACAGTGCTTTCTCTAGCACTATTGGGCCCCCACACCTGGTTAATTTGTTGAGCTGTTTCGATTGCGGATTGCCCCAATTTATAGTCGAAGAAAAAATCGTCCGAAGTGCTCTTTTCACATGCTTGAAAAAATCTTGAAAAAAGGGGGTTTATCAAGCAATGGTGAAACGGCAATTATTATACCATCAGATAGCGCAAGAAATTCTCTACAGGATGTGCTACTGAGAAGCAAGGCAGAATGAGTTTTTAATCAGCAGTGAATGTACAAAAAATAGGTGCACAAAACGCTGAGAACTTTCCGGACAACCTAATATTTTACGCGACGAATAGTGAGCTCTGGTTCTTCGAATAGGAGGAAACTAGAACATTCTACTAGTGAGCAGATTCCATTCCTAATCGTTATTACTTTGCAGGTGAATCGATCAAGAAACTGTCTTATTCGAAATGATTCGATCTGGTTCCCATACAGGAAAGATGCAAGTTTCAGATATACTCGTCGAAACTAGTGTCAAAGTTTGCTTTCGCAATCTGAATGTATCAAAATAGACAACTACGAAGAACCAATTTCACCCACTATATATAATTTCCTTCGTCTGTTTGTTTGTTCATTTGTTTGTTTGCTTATTTGTTTGTCCGAAAATTCCGTTCGACTTTTCGATTGGAGAGGTGGGGTAAAAGTGCAGATGGGTAGGGCATGCGACAAGAGGTAAGGAGCACACATAACCTATGCGAAGCCCCGCCCACAGTGGGCGGGGCATGCGCCGAAAGTTGGCGGTACCGCGGACAAAAATTCATAATTCGCTTCCGGAGCAGCCCAGAGATGGGGGAAAAGTGGAACGAATTTTAGCAAGGGTTGCCAGACTAACTGGGGGAGACACCTCAAATGGGAGGGGCGTACTCGAGATGCGCCGTGCTTCCTACAAGATTCAGTAACTCAGTTCGCGCGAGTGTTCAGAGATCGCAAAAAAAATCGATGCAAAAGGGCGAATATCTGGCGAGTGTTAGGGCACGCCTAAAGTATGCTGAGACCGCTCTCAGCGGACGAAGCTAGCCCTCAATCGCAGGATACTCATTTCAAAGTTTATAGCTCGGCTCCAGAACACCCTACACATCTATAAAAGTGGAGTAAGGTCAGCAGAGGGTCGCGGGTTAAGAAATGTGGGGCATACATGTTGTGGGTGTGGCCTGCTTCGGGGTGGACGGAGCCAGACAAGAAATTCGCCTGCTTCGGGGTGGGCGGAGCCAGACAAGAAATTCGTAAATTGTTAAACCACTCCAGAGACCGGGAAAGAGGATTAAAGTCATTGAGAGCTGGCCGATTGAGAAATGTGGGCACACTCATTTGGGTGGGGCCTGTGCCAGTGGGCGGAGCCGGACAAAAAGTCCGTAAATGGTTTCTGGGCCTTCCAGACAATGGAAGAGAGTGGATGCGGTCAGCGAAGGGTCGCGGGTTAGGAAATGTAGGGCACACATGATGTAGGCGGAGCCTGGCGGAGCCAAACAAAGAGTCTGCAAAAGGTTCCAGAGCACTTCAGACATGGAAAAAAGCGGAATAAGGTCAGTGAAGGGTGGCGTGTTAAGAAGTGTGGGCACACGTGTTGTGGTTGGAGCCTGCCCCGTGGGCGGAGCCAGACAAAAAGTCTGTAAGTTCCAGAGCACTCCAGACACCGTCAACATGTGAGCAGAGATGTGCAGGAGCTCAACTGTTAAAGTGATATAGACACACCCGTTGCGGGTGGAGAATGCATTGAAGTGAGCGGAGAGAGAGAGAGAAAGTCAAGAATTCATGGGTTGGTTGCTGAGCAGCATGGGCACGAGGACAAGAGGATTGAGTTCCACACGAGGTCAGCGGACGAAATGGGAAGATGACCACAAAATGACGGTCCTTGCTAAGGAGGTGCTTGGTGCTTGCCACAAAACTTCAGCAATTCGGATCTGCTTGAAGCGGTGAAAAAATTGTTGGAGAAGAGAGACGTATAGCGAGAGTTCTGTTGTGTGTTGAGTCCGAGTGGGCGGAGCGCATGACGTACCTACTCTTGCTGAGTTTTAGAGCGTAGGCAGCCACACACTTAACCAGGCCGGATTTCAGTTGAGTCTAGAAATATGTGGAAGTAGGTACGCGCGGCGAAGCCGCGCCCGCCCGCGCAGCCGGGCCACAGCAGAAGGAGGCGCGCACCGGCGAGATGACTGGTATCATATACCCTTGTCATGAGAGAGTCGTCTCGCTCGTCTTCGTTCGCACTCATCCCATGCCTATAATTTCCCTCTCTTAAAGTAGTCACTTCGCTCCTTTAAAGGGAACACCACCAGGTTGGTCCGTCCTTTGCAATGATATGATACCTAAGTATGCGCCTTGTGACAACGAACTCAATTGTGCTCTCAATCAATGCGTTTGTAAACAGAGTTATCAAGGTTTTTCCCCGTAACAGTTTTACGCACTGGCCAGTGGAAGCGCTCTCGTAACGGCTAGTAATAGTTGCTCGTGGAGGCGCAGCTCATACGTTAGTGAATGTGCCTCTGAATGTTGAATGGTCGTCTCTCTCTGTGGCCAGTAGACCAGCCCTCACCCCTACTCCTCGAAGGGCAGCGTACACCACCACGCGTTTTCTGTCAAACAAGTCATATTTCAAGGAGTCAAAATTCCCCCGGGGAGCAAAGTTTTACGCAAGTTTGAGATTTCAATCGAACTTCGAGGAAGTCAGTGATGAATAAAATGGTGTTGGTATCGCCCCAGTCATATTTCTAGGGCTCAACTGATACCGAAGCAGTCTTAAGACTGAATTAGTTCTCTAGCCGTGAATCTGGTGGCAAGCACTATCTGACTTATGCGTTGGCGTTATCCTTAGTTTGTCACAGCATGGTTTTCCAATATGAAGTGCCCCCATTGGACTTTTTTCTGTTCACACCTATTTGGCAGTGGCTACAATTTTCGCTTCGCATTGCCAATTAGGACTCCCGCTTCAACACACCTCTTTTCCTCATAAATAGGATCTTATTCTATTTTGAGGCCAGCCACCTATAAAAGAATAGGCCCAGATCCACTTTTAGCCGCAGCTACTCACACATGACTACTGCCCCCCTTTTTCGAAGTTAGGTTCTGGTTCCAAAGTTCAGATTACATTGAAATTCATGCCCAGAACTAATTTGACTCCGTGAACAGAAATATACACTCATTTATCGTGAGGAGGCATTTGAAATGCATTACGGGACCTGGCATGCAAAATTCTTCCCTTAGGCCGCAATGACTCATATTTGTGGATGGTCCCCACACAGCGAATTCAGAAGTTCCGCGCACAAAGTTCGTAACAACTATACGTGCCAGATCGGGATGGCCTGATTGCCTCATGTGAAAAGACAGGCGTGAAACAAGTGCGCGGGTGAAATTTTCCAGAACTTGGTTCGGGAGGCGTTCCTTCAGTTGGAGAGCCGATTGAATTCAGCGTAACACAATGCATAGAGCGGTGTACACCTCATTGCAAATAGCTGGATCAAGCTATAGTCCCTTAAAGACGCTCTGTGCCGTTTAGTCTGTTTTCTCCTTCACCAGTAACTCCTTTGCCCTCTACGGTTCATCTGGATTCATCCATTCACGAATGCAGCTGCAGTTGTGATATGTCTCTGAACAGGACAACGGAAGTACTACTCCCCCCACACCAAATCGCTTTTAAGCACTTACATATATTTTAAGTTACCCTATGTTTCATGGTGTAAAGCGCACCCGCGTGTAGAGGGCACCTTTGCTTCGGAACGTATTTTTGTGGGCGCTGTCCATACGAGTGGTCTACCTCGGACCGACGGCAATTGGAAGAAAAGAGTATGGAAAAATACTGAAAATGCTGTCGCTGTATTTGGAAAATTTTCGTGCGTTGTTGCGTCCATGCAAATAAGTGCTCCCCATACCTCAGAGAATAGAGTGAATTCCGAATAAATGATCAACAAGGTTTAATAAAATCTTCTAAACTTCAAGTATGCCTAAATATTTTCAGAAAGGGTTGCGAAATCATGCTTTCAGGTATTTACTATTGCCCAAGCACTTTCGTCACATATGGAGCAATACGATTTGGGCGTTTCTGTCTGGGGTTTCGCTATCCTCTCACGACCACTGATTTTAGCGGTAATCCCACTTACCGTAATAGTTTAACTATCAAATTGAGTTCTCCGCTTGACGAATTACATTCCACCAGAGATACCTGTTCTCTTTTTCCCCTCTCTAAATTTCCCCTCACAAATGAACATGTAGTGATAGTGAGTATTAGCGGTCAACTTCACCTACTACATATTGGGGACTCGGAAATGCCCAGCAACAGTGAAGTAGTGGGTAAAGAATTACGAAAATATGTGCTATGAAAACAAAGATGGAGACGAAACATGATAGGAAGAGTGTGGCGTTCGGAAAGTTAATAAAAAAATTCAGACTTTCTCCGTGATGGCGATGGTGTTGTCAATGATCATCGAGCTCGCTCCTCATCCCCAGTTCGAGCTCCTGAACTGTACAACTACTGTGGTGGCTTGAAGTTTATACTCTCTTTGCTGCAATCGGTTTCGTGATTGGCAACATTATTACATTCTCCTAATATTGATCACTGTGGATTTTTGGAGTTCTTCTTACGAGTTACGTATTACGTGTCATATGGTTGGCTGATCAAGGTATAGCTAGAAGAAAGTGTCGCTAACCTAACTGCAGATTCTGTTTGCGTTAACTGATGATTATGACGGTGTTTTTGTGAAAAATCGAAGTTGGACAAAAATCACACTGAGTAGTTGCTATCGCTTCTTGTGCCACGAATGAATGAATTCGAAGGTTGAGAGTGTTTTTACGTCCTTGTATCATATCAGTCGGATCGCCCGGCTGCTTCGCCAGGCCCGCTCCATAATTTTAACGGAACTTTTTCCAATAGTGGGCTGCTCATTAGAGCGCTGTAGTGATCAATCGTAGCAGATAGAGCAAGGCTTGGGATCGTGCACTACTTAGCACACGCTTCTATTTGCAGCAGGGGGGGGGTGTGGTCCGCGCCCTAACGCCCATAAAATGCATAAACCTGTGGATATAGATACAATGGGTAGTCGTCCAATACAGCACAATATGAATCGCTCAGTAAAATAGCATATTTCGTTTCCAGTTACCTGCACCGAAATGCCTACCGATGAACGTTCCCTTTTCAATTTTCATGCAGTCCGCTCGCTGAAGTATAATTATTAGTAGGTACATGAGCCCTTGTTATTCGTTCTAATCAGTTAATTCAAAGTTTAAAAGTAAAAAGTGCTATTGAACGCATTCTAACCAGTTATTCAAATGTTAAAAGTAAAAAGTGCTATTGAAG